AGAGGGATCAAACCCACAACCGTGGTGTTATTAGCACCATGCTCTAATCAACAGAGCTAATCTCAGGGTCAAACAATCCCCAGTCATGCATTTCCATCCTGCTTTTTCTGAAGCTCAGGCTTTCATGTGTATGCGTATGCATTTATACATATTTGTGGCATTAGCATCACTTTTGTAGTTCTTTCTTAAGGGCAACAACTCACTGAAAGGGAAGGCACACAAAACAAGCACATGTCCTGGACATGCAAATACAACATAATCAATGCTTGTAAAATGTGGAAAGGTAGATGCAACAAAAACATGGAAGAATACAAAAAGGATGCTTCCTCTTTAGCACTCCTTTTCAACTTCCTGATCTTCCACATTCTGATCGAGACTCAAGACTATTTGCAGTAGTTCCAAAATGCTTACTTTATTAATGCACAAACCTCAGCAGGACAAGGACTGTTGAGGATGACTGATTGAAATTCATAACATGTTACAAAATGATTTCTTTGACATAGCCAGTAGGGAACTCTTGTTTGTTGAACTTATTATTCATTCATGTATTCATGAAAAAAAAATACAATAAAAGCATAATCCCTTCATAGTGCCTGAATGATCACATTGAAATGAACCCGGAGCTTTGCAGTGCTAAGCAAGGTCTTTACTTTGCAACAGAACAATTTTATATTGCAATATCATTAGCTGAGCCCAGAGTTTACATCATACTTATAAATCAGCAAGGGAAATTTAACCTGCATTGTAATCTAAGGTTATGCTGAAAATCAGATATTAAAAACACACATGCATAATAACAACTGCTTATGTGATTTTTTTATTTTCTCTTTCCTAAACGATTTAGCAATTACTGTGTTGAAATGTAACTAAGATCTCACAGTCTGTTTGCATTTTGACAACTAAAATTAAAACATGGGTCAAAAGAAGCACAGGAATAACAAATAACACTTTGGTGATTTGAAAGTTCATAGAGTAAACCAGTAACAGGAAAATTGGCTTGTCAAATCTGTTATTTGAAAAGAATTACTGACAAGATTTAAATCAAACTTTCCTGTGTTCAAAATACTGATAAAATAAAGGACCATAATTTAAGGAGAAAATCATTCTCAAAAGCTCCAGCACTGAAAGTGTTTACATTCACAAATGTAAATGGAATATATAACCTCACTGTACAGTAACATACCAAACAATGTTTGATTTTTCCATTCCTTAATAAACTCTCATCTTTCTGTTGCTGCTCTTTCTAAACTAAATATTTGCATGTTTCCATTCAGCTTGAGCTAGTTTTATATTGTATATTCACATCCTACCTTATCTTGAAAAGGGATGTATTTACACACTTGGAACTTGGAACTACTTTCCATAATTTGTCATTTATTTTAAACCATGGTAGATGCAGAGCCACTTAGCAAGGCACTGTTACTCCATCTAACCTTGCTGTTGTCAAACTCTTGGGCTAAATTAAAAGCAGTTCTGGAAATCATCTGGACAAATGGTTTCTGCTTGTTTCAAAGGGAATCCTCCCTCCTCTCTGCTAAATGCTTGTAACTTGTGACTGAAGGATAAGGAATCCTTGATTTTGAAAGGTCTGGGTCAGCTTTTCATTGAATTCTTTCTATTACTTTCAATCAACCAGACCAAAAATATGAAAAAGCCTTGAGTTAACAAAGTGCATCTGACTGCATAATAAATTAATTAGATTTTGGAAGAGATAGAGAAAATAATTAGGCCCAAACACAGACTTCTGAAGCTAAGACTAACCAGAAGGGTAGATATTCATCTCAGTTCTCAGTATGAAAGTTGAAGGATTCCTGTTTATGGGACACCTAAACTCATTGTCTTCCAAAAAGCCCTACCTTCTCCTAAATTAATGTGTTCTTACCCCTTGAATTGGGAAAAGGACTTTACCCAGTAAAGGCTGTTTGAGCTCTGTTCACTATTAGGAAAGAATGGTGATGGATACCAAACCACATGAGAAGTTTTAGGTGCAGAAGACTATCTTTCCCCTTTCCTGTGATCTAAGCATAGAGATTTGCCACGCCAGCAAAAAGAAAAATATGGTTTCATCTCTGATTTGATGCACTTGGACAACACAAAACAGCCAAACCTATAATCAAGAAAGATTTCAGTCTTTCTGAATAAACAGTACCTTAATACTTGAAAAGAGAAAGTCACTAAAGTTTGGCTTCAGAATAACATGTCAATGAGATGCACAATATTGTTGTAAAGAGTGTGTTGTAAAGAGTGCAGGGACACTATTTCAGTGAAATAAAACTTGGAAGATGCTTGCATTAGAATGAAGCGGTTGGAAAACAGGAAACAACTCAATTTTCAAAAACATGTACAATCTCTTAGGAGTGTCTGTTAACAGAAAACAAGGTCTTTTGCATGATGAGATGGGAGAACATTTCTTCAGTTCAATAGTTTAAAAAAAATGGTTTCTCCTTCCTCATCTCTTCAGAGTTAGGGTATGTACAAAAAGGGGGTCTACAAGTGTCCTGTCTTCTCTTTATTCTGAGCATCTTGAGGACTGCACAAAATGCTTTGGTGGTCTTACAATAGTTTCAATTAGGAAAATACAGTTTAGGTTCTCAATCTTTAGTCTCCTGACAAGACCTTTTTCTTCTTATCAAGGACATGCAATTTTTCAGGCCAGTACATACCATGCAAAAGTATACACTCCTACCAGACTACTGTATCTACAAGGCAGAGAATACTGGTAGGCAGAGATCATAGTTCAGTTTGTGGTAATTGTATTCACCCTGTGAAGCAGGATTAACTGGTTCAACAGTACTGATGAAATACTATTGATGTAACTATACAGCTTTCAGGACTTTGATTAGCTCATTTATATTGGCATAACACCACACTGAATTGTCCACCCTAACATCACAGTCACAAATACACAATACACACACACTTACCAGAGTCTTTCTACCGCTCCTTCTCCTCCAACCAGAGCTCTTATAAACAGGAGCTTCCCAGATCCTTTATTTGAAGGAATCAATTTCCTTCATTCTCAGACTGCTCAAGTAGCTTTTTGAAGTGCCACTCTCTTAAAAGCTGGATCCCTCCCTCCTGTTTTAACAGATGTCCAATACCCATTTAAGGTAGTCAGACGCCAGCCTGTCATGTTCTAAATCAAATAAGACTCAAAAAAATAACATTAATGTTAATTTCACACTGAAGCTGTTTCATCTACTCCTTGCCTATGTAAAGCTCCAGCTTTTCTCTTGTACCTCAGACCTTGTGGTCATTTTGCTTGCACTTGGTCTAAGCAAACGTAAATTGACTTAATTAACCTGTGATTGTTAGTCATATATATTAAATGATTGCTTAAATTCTTATCCTGTTCCATTTTCAATAGTCATCATTACAATTTCCTATATCAAATGCTGACAGCATCAAATATGAGATCTCCTATGGTGGTTAAGAAGTGAATATTCCACACATTAACTGTTCCTTTAGGAACCCTTCTAAGTGCCACTTTGAAGGACTTCCTTCCCTCCAACTCCTGATAGATTCTAATTATTTCATTTTGTCTTCATCATCTTTAACTGACCTCTCATCTTCCTGGTCACTTGCTGGGCTGAACCCTAGCAAGTGCTGGATCCCTGAGAAGAACTATCAGTCCTGCGATGGCAGCTCAGGAAAACAGAAGAGGTGTGTCTTTTGCTGTGGGGAAGGCCAGCTGAAATCAATGGATTTCAAAACACTTGATCATTCATAGTGGGGAAAAGGGTTTGCCCTGTTTAGCTTGCACTCATTCCTTGTTACAAACACAAACACCAGCCAAATGCCCACTCCTTATTCAACCATTAGGAAATTTGTTAACTTGTTAGGAGGCTATTTCAAAAAAGTCTTACTCTGACCCTAGTGCAAAGAGATTAAGATTAAAGTGTTTCAGAGCAGCAATCTTTCCTGCTCATGACCAAGTATTTTGCAAGCTGATTTCAACAGGGTGTGAAAATGCCAATGATTAGACAAATGTAAGACCTTGTTTTCATGTGAAGTTCATTTTAGGATCAAGGCTTCAGTCAGTGTAGCCATGGCAATTTTATTACAGCACACTAATATCCAAACTGTTACCATGGAACCGAGTTACAAAGACTTGGACAATCAATTCCAATTACAATAGTTAAATGGTCATGACTTAAATCATACAAATGGCAATTTTCATACACATATTTGAATTAAATAATTCTTTTTATTGAGGACAGAGCAAGTTGTGCTTAGCATTGTAATTCCAAGGCATGTTGTTCAGAATATAATGATATAATTTGCCCTGATATTCACACATGCTACTTTCTTTTTCCTTTTTTAACCTACATTCAAGTGCCATTCAAAAAGGTAGACTCCTGCTGTCTTTAGAGATCAAAGAAAACCACAGAAATTACATCCAATCTGATCCTGAGCAATCAAACATTCAGATGTTCGATATTTCAAAAAGCAAACACATCAGCACCAATTGAAATTGGCTTTTACAAGGTAATTTTTTATCTGGAAGTCAAATAATAGTACAATTAAATTTCCCTGTTAGTTGATTTTGGAATAAGCAGAAGAAAGAGAAAAAGAATTGAATAGGGTAATCCAAAGACACTTTAAAATATGGATTTGGTTATTATTTTAGGAAGAACAAGAATAAAAGGTAATTTTAACTTTTTTTTCTTGGCTAGAATCAAGAAGAAGAAAAGAGTGAAATAGCACACTTAGCAAAATTAAGTCTCCTTGATGTAACCCTTCCTTCTATCCTTGACAGAAGACACTGAATATTTTATTAGCACACACCAAATATAACATCAAGTGGTCAGAGAACCAAATATCACAGCTATTCCAAGGGTATAGCTTTTTTGTGGCCTCTGATCTGAAAACAAGAATAGAGAATACCTGCTTCAGCAGAACAAGTGAAGCATTCTCCACTCACAGTCAAAGATATTTTGGAGCCTAAACATTAGCTACACTTATTGCTCATTTGGACAAACAATCAAAGCGTGCAGAAATCAAAACAGTGGGTTGTTTATTACGTGCCATCTGCCACCAACATGACATAAACTTGGACAGCATGATCATTACTGTTTGTGCAACAATTGCATGGAAGTGTTTACTGGTAGCTAGCTTTTATTGAGAAAGTGAGTTTATTTTGCAATTGTTCAATGAAGATTCCAACTTACATAACCTCTTGGACAAATGTTGTGTTAATTCAGTGCCTGAAGTCCTATTCACCTGGAAAATCTAATATATGACAAGAACAAAAAACCCATACAACAGCATGACCATTACGCCTCTGCAAAGCAAAAAAAAATGCCTGCTGTAAAAAACACCACACTGATTTAAGCACTGCTGTCAACATTTTCTTCTTTTACACCCCAAGGATAAATAGACTCTTACAGGGAAGCGAATCTGGGTCTTACGGACAGGCAAAGCTCCTACTACTGATTATTCACAGTTGGGTCCCCAGAAACTCTTACCACATTTCATATTTTTCAATTTGAAAGAATCTACTACTTTTCTTGAAACCTCCTTCGTCCCAGAAATATAACACATTAAAAAAAATAGAACATCAGCACAAAAAAACCCAACCACAAAAAAACCCCCAAACAAACAAATAAAAAATAAAACCAAACCAACCAACCAACCAAACAAAAACCAAACAACCCTGTGGAACCAATGTTTACCTTTTACTTTCCCTTTAGTGTTCAAAAAATTAATATATGACTATCCACCTGAAAAATCATTATCCAACAGCATTGTTTACAACCACAAAATAATACTATTCAGTGATGAGAAACTAAGTTGGAAGCCTCTGTAAGTAGCCATCTCTTTCACAGACTTCTTTCTCTTAATTGCAAATGTATTTTTGCTTTTGAGCTAAGCAAATGTCACAAAGAAACCAAGTCTGACTGTTACTTTATTGTTACAATAGTTAACCATTCATTTCTTTTAGGGGCTTTTTCCAACTACTTGAACAGTAAAATGAAAACTAGTGCCTTAAAAGTTAATGTTTTATTGAGGTGAGTAAAAAAGAAGAAAGGAGTAGTGAAGTAATAACACTGGATCAGGAGAGACCTGAAAATTCAGAGACCCTGTTCAGAGACCTACTGATGTCAACACAATATCTAGACTATAATGGTGAATTATCTCCATTCCCTTTCCTTTAAAATTAATACCCATGTTTATGATACACAAGAGTGACAAACAATGAAAAGCTACCCAAACAGCAATGAGGACAGCAAATCACATATTTACAATAATAACTGTTTCTCAAGGCTAAAGAATTTGAACAGAACTTGAAAAAACATCATTAATGTTTCTGATTTTCACCAAATAACCCCAACCAATTAAAGATTTATTACATTTCATATCAGTATACAGCACTTCCATACCTAATATCTTCTATAACTTCTCTTCACTACCTGTGACCATACTTTAAAATATTCAAGAACTTTCCATTATTTAAACATTCAAAACCAAGTTGAAATCATGACTGTGCACCAAGACAGTTAGATTTATGGATATATTTTGATTTCTTTTCTGGAGAGGTGCTTTACCTGCCTGTGAATTCCTAAATGCTGACTCTACTCTTTAGTCTGTCCATCCAGGACACAGTCTTTATTCCAGCTTCTGTCTCTAAAAGAATGTGAAATTACTTGCAGAGACTTCTTGTTGGTATGCATCTGCATATATCAGGTATGGTATCAAAACACTTTAAAACATAATAGAGCATAGAACCTTCAGATTAGACGGCATTCTCTTTCAACCAGATTGAAATGCAGACAAAACAAGAGATGGCTCCTTAGTGAAAATGTTGATGCAAATACCTCAGATATAGATGCAAATGATAAAGTACAAAGAAAGTATTTCCTGGGAACACTACAAATTTAAAGTGCCAAATACTGGATTGATTTGAGGGGACACAGCAAAAAGTGTACAGATGGATACACTACTCACATGTGACAATTTTGTCAGGAGAGAATTTTCAAACGTTGATTGTTTAGCCTTATCTGAAAACAACAAGAAGCCCTGTAGAAATTTTTGAGACTTTTTCCTACAGTTTTCTCTGATCTTTCTTTACCAACAATAAAGCTGATCTTCCTTCCAGTCCCTACCCCTTCACTAGGGAGGATCATGTGCTTGCTGAAGCTGGTACCCACGAAAGGGTAATGTTTGAACTCTTCCTGCTGTTCCCGTCACTGCTCTCTTTTCATTGATTTTCATGGATTTTGAAAGAATTTAGTTATCATTGAGAAGTCTAACTTTTGGGTTCAAATTTGCTTGAAACGGACCAATTTTTTGGTGGGAATGAAGGGAACTGACAAACAGCTGTCTTCCTTTTACCTTCTAGGTCTTTTAACAGTCAGATATGTACATAATGAAGTGCTGAAAAAGTATGGCTATTAACTTTTTTGCTCATCTATTCTTGGCTTTCTAGTTTGTTAGAGTGCTCAAAGTACCTAGCCTGGCACCCACTCTAAGATACAACCTCTGCTACCATTACTTGAAGGGGTAAAATTATTTATTTAGTTAGCCAGCCCTGACTTTTAATTCAGAATCAGGCATTATATTTCAAAATTTCATTTATGAGCAGCAGCATGACCATAACTGCATACCTAAGAAACATGTTCCAACTGCATTACATGGACACTAAAAAAAAAAAGGTGTTCAGTTCATGTTTTCAGGTTTCAAAATATGCACATAGTACTACATGTTCAGGTGTTTTTAAAATATTTGATATATTCATTCTGTTTTAAGTCCAGCTGCCAACTAAACCCCATACACAGAACCCTACACTATGCCCTGTGAAAAAAACTAATGCTACCCCAGTCAAAATTCCAATAATATATTTTGGAGAAGGAAGTCTCAAGAATAGCGCTATCTGAGGAACAGTTAAGCAACATAGATCACATATTTAAGCTGCAAAGGAAGCAAGGTAACACCAACAAAAATTATCAAAAGAAAGAAGATGACCAAAGTGTCTCAATATAATCTCTAAACTGGCAAAGATGAGAAAAAGAAGTATCCCATTTTCAAGCACATATGTATTGGATTTATACAGCAATATTTCAGTAACAGGTGAGATACAGGCGTGGCTTAGAAGCTGCCAGAAGCTTCCCCCAAGTCCAATATAGCTAATGCCAGGCAGGTCCAAGACAGCCCCACCGCTGGACAAGGATAAGCCCATCAGTGACTGTGGTAGCACCTCTAGGAGAACAGATTTAAGAAGAGGAAGAATTTTTGTGCAGAAACAATTGCAGCCAAAGAAGAGAAGAGTGAGGAAGCAACAGCTCTGCAGACACCAAGTGAATCATAGAACCATTAAGGTTGGAAAATACCTCCATCATCAACCTCATACCCCCATGCCTACTCAAACATATCACAAAGTGCCACAGAGGGAGAGAAGGTACTCCAGATGTTGGAGCAGAGATTCCCCTGCAGCCTGTGGTACAGACCATGGTGAGGCAGCTGTGCCCCTGCAGTCCATGGAGGTCCATGGGAGAGTGGAGATCCACCTGCAGCACGGGGATGACCCCACTTCAGAACAGGTGGATGCTTGAAAGCAGGCTGTGAACCTGTGGGAAGGTGTGCTGGAGCAGACTTCTGAAGGACTTGTGACCTGTGGAAAGACGAGCACAAGCTGGAGTAGGTTTGCTGGCAGGACTTATCACCCCGTGAGAAACCCACAATGGAGCAGCCTGTTCCTGAAGAACTGCACCTCCTGGAAGGCACTCGTGATGAAATAGGGGAAGAGTGTAAGGAGCACTCCCCCTGAGGAGAAAGGAGTAGCAGAGACAACATGCAATTAACTGTTAGAGCCCCTGTCCCCTGTTCCCCTGCACTGCTGCGGGGGAGGAGGTAGAGAAAACGTGAATGAAGCTTAGCCTGGGAAAAAAGGGGAGGGTGGGGGGGAGGTATTTTAAGTTTTGGGTTTATTTCTCATTCTTCTGCTCTGAGTTGATTGGCAATAAATCAATTTCCTCAGGTCCAGTCTCCTTGCCCATGATGGCAATTGGTCAGTGACCTCTCCCTGTCCTTATCTCAACCCACAAACCCTTTGTTATATTTACTATCCCCTGTTAAGCTGAGGACGGAAGTGATAGAGCAGCTTTGGTGGGCACTTGTCATCCAGCCAAGATCAACCCATCATAAAATACAATTAGGCATATTTAATACTATCTAAGTAGTTGTCCTAATCTTGTACATTTCCATAGCAAGTAGACTGATTTGGTATCCATTCTGTAGATTCAAATGCATATTCACAACCAAAAAAACCTGGGAAGGCTAAGATATTCTATGGAGGGGATCCAAGCAAAATTATGATAAAACTGAATGATATTGACACATTAACTCCAGGCAATGCCAAATATCCTCAGCAGAATGATTTTTCTTCCAAGATCTAACTGTGTTATGTTTTCTTACTCTTCATAAGGCTTTCAGTTTTATGAACAATAAATGTTATCCATACAACAAAACAGATGCATTTAAGGGCAAGTTTGGGTTTTTTTGAAAGCTAAAGAAAACCTTTAAAAACTAGCCTAACCAAAGAAAAGTAAGCTAAAGAAAAACAAACATTTCTTGCCTACAACAGTTCAGATGCTGTGTTTGGGTCCAACCAAGTTTTTTGGTCAGAGATAATCTCTTACATTAAGAACATTAAAAATAACCAATACTCAATATATGTTCACATATGTCAATATGAGTTCCTTAATTTTATAGATTGTAGACCCTTGTCAGCTCTCAAAAAATGCTCATCCTTTTTTCTAACATTAAAATATTAGAGATGTAAGATGTTTCCTCGAATAAACTGAAGCCAGCCTTGAAGAGCAGCTGTATATATATTCATACATGATCCTGATGACCACTGGTGGTTTGGTATTAACAACGTCTACAAGAAAAGAAAATCAAGTCTAAGAAGATAGTAATCATACTCACATTATGTACAAACCATGGTTTGAAGCTCAATCAAAAACATGTTCACATTTGTATTTGATAATCACAAGACTGTAGGTCAAATCTGAAGCACTATTTTCAGATTTCAAAAGCTTCTGTTTGATTACTTTCACCTTGAGGGGAAACGGTATAAGAATATTTGGGGGTTTTCTGGTAATTTGGGCAACTGAATTAGTAATAAAGAAATAAACACCTCATATATAGAACTAATAACAACAAATACAAGGAATGTAATTAGGCCTCAGGTTCAGTATTTCCTCACAAAAATTTCAGCTTTCCTAAAATAAAGTGGGGTTTTTTTTCTGAAATAGCAGGATGAAAATAACATTTCAGTCCACAAATACGACTATTGTATATTAAGCTCACTTAATTAAAAAATCAAAACTATCAAACAAGACCACCAAACCTAAGTCAGAGTCAAATTTTCTTTAGAATTATTTGTAGTTCAGAATAACAAAGACATTCGCAAAATATTTCAGTCAGACCTTCCAGATCTCACTACTCTAAATTGTTCCAACTTAACCACATTTAAAACACAATAAAACTCAGCAAGTATAATCTAAATCATACACTTACCAGTCTTCTTCCCACAAGCCTTGAAGTCTGAAAGTTACTATGGAAACAAATTCTACATTTCCACAAATTGGAAGCACCTGTTAAAAACAAAACAAAACAAAATAAAACTAAAAAAATATTATCTCATTGCTAACTATGCCTTATTCAAGGTATAAAGAAGGCAATGACTAACCAGCTTTTAAACAGTCACAAATAATGAGAGTGACACTCTCGTTAATTAATTAATAAATTAATGAGGGATCCAAAGTAGTATGGCTTTCATAAAACCACCTTAAAAAAATAAAGAAAGGAAGAAATAAACTACAGTGTTTCTTTCAAAGAAGCATACTTTACAGTGCATTTCCAACATGGCATTTTAACTGCTAATGTGTGATAAGAGTGCCACTAAAGCCCAAATTATCCTGTGACCTAAGTGGAGGCAGAACTGTTGGCTGAAGCTTTAGATTCGAGCAGTGTATAATCAAAGTGTAGCCTATATCACAGAATTACAGAGAGTTTTAATCTCTCACAGCTTTGGTTTCCTATCTATAAAATGGGTATGGCATAGCATGCAGTAGCAGATAACAGTTGGGAAAGATACTGCTTAATGTTTATCTGCATGTCGTACAACATCATACAATTGCCATATTGTCCTCTGCTTATATTCCATGATGTTGATCTGTGACCTTGGGCAATACAAAGCAGCTTTAACTCCCAAGGTCATCTCTTATGTCCATACAGGTGAACAAATACATCTCCTGATATCTATTTAATAGCAAGATCTAATACATTGCAGATTATACATGACCTAAAAATATATGAAAAATCAAAACACAAGAGCTGGAAGACAAGAACATGAACAACGGGGGTTCAGCTATCCCTGCTTGACCTAAGTCCATGGAATTTCTACAACTGGATAAATTAATACTGGAATGCTTGTTACTGCAGAAGTCTTTTCTTATCCGAATTACAAAAAATAATCAGAAATGGTTCTGATATAGGAGTTTGCTTGCAAAGTCTCCTGCTTTTGGTGATATTATTCTCAAAATGTCTAACACTGTTCAGTTCGACATCTTATTTCATAGAACCATAGAAAGGCCAGGGTTAGAGGGGACCTAAAAGATCATCTGGTTCGAACCCTCCTGCCACAGGCAGGGACACCTCCCACTAGACCCGGTTGCTCAAAGACTGGTCTACTGGAATTTATCCTCTAAATTCCCATAATTCATTTTAACCTTGTTTAGTCACTGTATTGATCTTACACACTGTGTCTTCTGAGAACGCCAACAATGTGACAGTCTTGATAATGGCTTATATCATGCAAATCCGTGTCAATTACAAACCAGTTTCAAAGCACTAATGACACTAAAGTACATCAGATAGTAACTGCTCTTAACCTAAGTGAAATTTAAAAATGCAAAGTTTTTTTCAGCTTTATTTTAATAGTTCTTTCCAAGAGATCTTTAAAATACGGCAAGCTATTTATCAGGAGCTTTGAATGTGTGTGACAAAGAGTCATATAAACTGAAAAAGTTTAAAAGTAGGAGCTGACAAGAAGTCAACAGATCTTCAGGATGCATTACATTGCTACCCTGCCCGCACTAGAAAAAAAAAAGGAAAAAGGAAAAAGGAAAAAGCCATCTCATATCTGCTCCACAGTTTTTTCTGACTATTCTTTCCTTCTCATAGCTTAGGATCCTCCCATAAAACAAGTGTTTTGTCCAGCCTCAATTCTAAAATAATAAAGCTACAAAGGACAGCAAATATCCAAAGAATCTGTAAATTTCTTCACTGAAAATAAAATGCATAAATATTACAGGGACTGAATTTGTGTACATTAATTGTGTATTAGAGGCAGACAGTTTTCCAGTCCTCCTCAAAAATAAGTATGGCTACAGTGGGAGGTCTTAAATCCTCAGTGTTATTCTTCCACACTATTTCAGTGCAAACAGTGAAACAATTTTGAGAATTTCAAACCTGTTTATGTGGCAGGCAGTAAAATCAAACCTATTGTTAAATACAGTTTTATTTTTCCTTTGTTCCAAAAAACTTTCCCCAGAGAAAAACCAAGAAAGTTTATGCTACTTTTACTATAAAAATGCAAGTTTACAAAAATGCTATATGCTATTTTTGGCTTTATAAATACCAAATATAATCACCAAATTTCCTAGGACTGTCAGCACAGTATAAAAATTCGCTTTTCTTATTTAGAGGTATAGTTCAATATTTTCAGATGAAAAAAATTAGGCCTTCATGTGGTTTTAAGACACTCTTAGTTTCAGATTAGCTACTGTCTCTGGTCATTCAAGAAAAGCCTGTGAGAGAGCTTTTAAGTAAAAGCCTTTATCATAATGAAAGAAAAAATAATAGATACTAAAGGAAAGAGGGGAGAGAGAGCAACAGAAATTGTGTGTTTCTCAAGAAATACAGCACAGAGGACACTGATTAAGTAATATCATCTAAACCAAAATATTCTCTGTCAGCCAAAATGTTAAAGAGAAAAATAACTTTATTTCTTTCTCTGCTGACGGAGTACACAGTAATCCTATTGTTAAAAAATTCAGGCTCTGATTCAATCTTCTTGGTTTTTTAAATCCTCAAAGCACCTCTGTATTGTTGTTTTCAAGTCCATTCTTCTTATATGGTTTGATCACCTGTTCTCCCACTCAGGCTGGCGACTCCACATGTATTGTTTCCTAAATTCTCTGTAAAGCAGAAAAAGAAATAAGACAATCTTCCAGGATATTTGCTTTTATAAAGTGACTACCATACAGTTTGCAACGGGGTGCACACATACTTGACCCAACGTTAAAAGAGATATACTTTAGCAATTCATTTCAAGTCATTCATATTGTGTCCCATTATCTGCATTGACAATTGATGTATTGTCTAGCAATCAATATACACAGAAGTTTACAATGCTCTTTTTGTGATTTTAGAATAACCATCTACTGTCAACATAGCTTTTGATTGTCTAGCAAACAAATCTTTTACATTTTTGGACTACATTTGTGATGTTACCTCAAACTGATCTTCATATGTAATATCATCATCAACCCGCAACTTTATGGTGTTTCTTGAGAGTTTGCTTCAACTTTGCTTCAAACTCATTTACTTTTCTGATAGAAATAATGTCTTCACTAAGATTAACACATGTTAATTTTACCTCAAATTTTATCCAGAAACACTTCACAGTGATGTCAAATAACCCATTTTTTAAGCACACTATAACCATTAGTTCACTGATGGCACTTCAACACTTTCTAAAAATAATCCTTCTTTCCTATATAGGAAATAGAATAATACCTTATTGCCTAAATAATGCACATTTTATCTTTAACCAGAAGTTGAAAAATAGTTCAGTTTCTCATTAATATAGTAATGTGGACTAAAAACATTATATTATTTGACCTGTGTTCTCCTCATGTCTTCACACAGACTCTTGCAGACAAATCATGTTCATAAAGTGTAGATTCTTCCTTACAGAATTCATTAATACTTTCCTTATGCATAGCCCTGGAAATATGTAGTACACTAACTTAGACAATGTTGTATTGCCTTGTTTATTCAGCTCAAGGTTTGTTTCCTTATGTTCTCTAACATGGAAAATTTCTATGTGTTTGTAAGTTTTAACCAAAGTGCTCTAACAACATGCATATGTACAATATTGCATGTCTGTCATAACACTCTCACCTGTTAAGAAGGAAAAAACATTCTGAGGAATCAATGGTTTTCATGTTTTGTGACACTTTCCCTCTCTCAAAAGTTTGGATATATTTGGGATATATTTTTTTCAGTCTCATGTACAGTCTGAAAACTTTTCACTCAAGTGAATCGCTGTAGGTTTCCATCTTCTGAAAACTGCCTTTTTATTTAGGCTGATTTTAAGCTAACGAACTTCAAGCCATATCCCTGTTTTTCACTAGACTTAAGTAACTTTAACCAATGCATGGGAAATACTATAGACTGTAACATTTTTCAATCTCACAGACACCAGACAACAACTAAATAGGATATTAGCATCAAGCAACAGTTTCACAGACCTTGAGAGGCTGAACCATCACATCCCTGAGAACAGCTGACAGCTTGCCCTCATTTAAAGAAGGATTAGCAATGCCTTCCAACAATAGGTCCAAGTCTATTCCGTTTCATTTCCACAGTTATATAAAGGGCACAGATCCCATATTCAGCTGTCTGTGCAGATCCTCTTAGAACATCTGAGATTGCCAATCAGGGCACAAGACAAAGCTCAATCAGGGTAGGTTCCTCAGTGTTGTACTCCTGTCTTCATATCATTAATTGCTGAAACCATTTCATAAATATTCAAACTGTATCTACAGAGAAAATTGAAACAGTGTCTCTTTTTTGCATCTACTTTCTGCTATCAGAATACATGCTTTAAAATTATATCCTTGCAGAAAGGTTTCCACATTTTAATATTTTCTTCCTCAGAAAAGCATCCACCAAACTTTGAATTCACACACAGACACACTTTAATGACTAAAAATATAACACAATTTGAGAAGAAATTGAACTAAAAACTTCTGTACAGGAAAATAAGACCATAAAGTCCTCAAATATAAATACAACCCTACAGCTATGACTGAACTGACTTTTTTTGTTGCTATCCACTGAAATGTTTAACCAGTGCCAGATTATTACATTTGCCTTTTTATTAATCTTATCTACACTGTTGTGTTCCCAGGCTACTACAAACATTGCATAAAGTCTTGTCTATATGGTAAATAAGTTCTATCTGGTTACCTAGGCACAACATAAACTATTTTCTATGAACCAAATACAAAATTAAACATCTAAAAAAACCTTAGGGGAAAAGACAACTGAGGTTTGCTGCCAGAATATATTCTTTGGATTTAACATTCATATTCTCCTGTCAAATTTTGAAGTAATTATAGTGAACAAAATTTAAATCTTATGCTAATTGTCAGTGACCTTTGAACCTTAGAATCAGGGCTACCATACGCATGGCAAATGTAATTATGGAATCTGATTTCCTATATGTTGTAAGCAATGAAACTGCTTTAATTGACACTGATATATATTTGTAATAACTTCTGTGTAAATTAAAAATCAATGCCAATATTAGCTCCCTGGATTCTATTTTTATCAGACTGCTTATTTCTTCAGAATTGGAGATATTCAGGAGCACATATTTTGCAGAATGTACAATACATATTTTAAATCCCAGTGTATTTTGCATGCATGCCATTTATGTTTAAATCTCACGTATCTCGCACTTATGTACACACACATAAAGACAAATCCCATCAGATCTAGGCTGCCTTCAGGAGGTTTTGCTTCCAGCTGATTTTTGATAGATTGTCAAGCATGCCTCACCATGACTAAGTGGGATATCGCTGTATTATCTGGTATCAATGCTGCAGTGCATTGTAGATATCCAAAAGAGGGATACAAAAGAAGATGGAAGTAGAATTATTCACTTTACTTTTTTTCCTTCCAATTTTTATAGCATATTCTACATTTTTAAACCTTTCAGCGCTTTTGTGCATTCAAAGACATACTTGGCAAACATTGCTAATTTGTCTTCTATTTTTTCATTTTTCTTTGTCCCCATACTATTTATTTAAATGTCAGAAAGCAAACTATAAATACAAATATCTAAAATACATTTAAAATTTCATACCAATGAATGTGTTTTTGCTCAGCATCAATAAAAATATTTTGTCATCTAGGTACAGGCATTTGTTATGAATTCAGGTAAATTTCAGACTAGACTTCAAAACAGTCAATAGATGCTGTGCGGAGTGGAAGGAAGGTGATCTTTGTGGTTCGAGCCCTCAAAGCCAGCATTCTGGATTGCATAAAATATTTTTCTATCGTCATAAAGAACAGAATAAGTTATAATTTTTCCCAGAATGTAAAAAGCTGGCAGTGTATTTTGAAATTACCTTTTATGTTTAATGGTGTTAAACATATAAGCTATGGATTAAATAAAGATGAATTGAGTGACAATACAGAGAATAAGAACACTCACAGCTCAAAGGTCTTGCTCTCACACACAGCACAGGGCCACATCTGATCTCACAGTGGTTGATCCTGCTGTGACTGCACAGACTTCATTAAGCTTCATCCTTTATATAAACACAAATGAATACATAAATAGAAAGCAAAGACTTGCACAGATTTTACAGTGGGAAGGGGGGAGGGTGAGAGGTGCAGAATCTGAATTGGGAAGCATCCAGCTACAGCTCCAGTTCTGTTTTCAAAGGTTGTTTGTTCACATTGTATTCCTTAGAAAGGAAGCTAATTTACATCAAAGCAGCAAAAACAGTGCAATATTATAAAATGTCAGGGAAATTTTGCCTTTCAAAGAAATAACATTTCTCACCTGTAACTGAAACTCAATGTGATATAAATTAGGTCTTTTAATTAGAAGCATTAAACCAGACCAGCTCCTTACTATAATTTCAAGTAGAGAACTCTCTTCTTTCCTGGATTCTTTCCTAGCAATACTAGTCAGACATCATGGTGTACCTAAGATTCATATTCCAGAGAAAGAGCCACCACCATTCCTCTCACTCCAGGCTCTTTGGAAAGAACAGAAAATAGAAAAAAAATCAGACAACTTCAAAACATAACTGATTTCTGTTAGCTTGCAGAAAGAAGCACATTTTTGTAACCAGTGAACTAATCCCTTTTAAAAAATAAAAGAATGAAAAGAAAAACTTTATAAGCTAGATTTTGTAAATACCACAAAGTCCCAGCGTACCCAACATACCTGTAGTTATATTTTATTCAGCAAACAAACCTTCGACTTGTAATTTGCTTCTGATGTAGCCTAAAAGCACTTTATAGTATTAAAGCTTATTGATGCCTGTAAGACCCTCTTACCTACAGCTATTTCAAATGTAGTGAAATAATGCAACACTAATCTCTAAGACTTTTATTCCATAATAGATGTTTTTCTCACTAAATCAATTCAAAGGCTAATTGGGGTGGAAGGTGACTATCTCTAGTGGTTATAAATACATTTGCATTGCAATCAATCTTTTACCCGGCTGATGTTTAGCGAGGCTGAACCAGAGCCCAGCCCGGCCCCGGCAGTGCCGCCCGGTCCAACACATAGTCAATGCTGCCATCCAGTGGCACATCCAGTGGCACATCCAGCGCTGGCTCCGCTCGCCAGACCCCGACTCCCACACCCTCGCCCTCACTTCCCGGTGGACACGTAGGCAAGAGGAGGGAGGGATAGGGGAACGAGATGACAGGAATGCAGGACTCCTTTGCTCAACTCCACCTTTGTCCTGCGGATTCGACCGTCAGAGCAGCTCTTCCACCGTGCAGATACTGCCGCCCGAGCTGCCTCGGGTCTGCTGGGCACCAGAAGCTCGACCCACCTGCTGCAGCCAGAGGTGTAACAAAAAGCAGCAGACAATTTAAACCAGGCAAGCCTCACCTCATTGAAAAGAAAGACCAGAAAAAGTTACTGATTTCTTCACTGTGTCTTGGACCACCGCCCACGTCCATCATACATTATAAGTCACTCAAAACATCTATTGAGTATGTTTCATCCTCCTGCCCAGTGAGAAGTCTCCTGTCACTTCCTGAAATAAGCTTACTTGCACACACCACCGACGGGAAAAAAAAATAATAAAAAAAAAGGTAAGGACTTTGTAGTTTTATTGGGCACATAATTCAAGTTACTATATATACTGCACAAATCTCAGGTGTCGGAGAGATACAAACACACTCAATACTCAGCATGTAACCACCTCAAAAAATTTGCAAGCAAGGCTGTTCACAATATTTCTGTGAGCTAGGTAGTACAGAATATCCAAAATACAGAAGTCCGGTTTACTTTCAAAAAAACTCCCTATGTCTGAAATGGGTGATAAAGCTTTCCTTAGACAAACTTAAATAAACATTTTTGGGATGAAGAAAGTTAAAAAAACATTTTTACAGCTTTTGCCTGATAAGAAATATGGAGATGTGACAGAAAGCATCTGCTTTTCTACCAGAGAAGTTATTGGAGGAAAGAGCTGTTTTATTTACTTAGTTTGCCTGAGAAACAGCAGATTATCTAAGTGATCTCAGGGATGCGTATCTTTGTGCATCATTTCTGAGTGGACAGCTTGCACTGAAGTGTATCTTCCCCTTTAAGAAAGGGGATGGCCTAAATCAACTATTTTGCATACCTGCAAATTTAACTCATCATCAGCCAGACTGTTACCAGGCATTATCCATGGAAGGATCATACATAGTCAATGGTAAATACATAATAAGCAAGCAGCCAATACAACATTTATGAAGCTACATTATTACTAGGTGGTCTCTAGAGTTTTACAACCAGAAACTTAAAGTAGCAAATTGCTCTAATTTAGCAGACTGGGTTTACTGAAGCCAGCTATCATGATTGCAGAAGTTTGCTTTCATATGCCTAATGTTGTAGTAAACAGTTCACAGACTGTAAGTTATGATGTTAAGGCAGGGGGCAAAAAACTTGTATTCTCTCTGTTATTACTGAGATTTTGTACATATAGCCTCAGAAGATAGTATTTCCTCTGTAAATATTAGTGCTGTAGCACGGTACTTCACACTGCAGGAAAAGGCAGGACAAGGCCTTGTGTCAATGAATACACAGGCTAAAATGAATACTGAAATAGAAGTGGAAGCCTAAGGGAAAATAGCATCTTGAAGACAGACAAAAAGAAAAAAAAATTAGGATTAGTTAGAAACATATCTGCATAATGGTAGTTAACAGAAATTTTCTCTAACTACAGTTTAAATTTACATTGTTGTTTAAAAGAAAATAGGGGATGCATTTTTTAGATGATCAAAAATTATATTTAAAAAGTTTTCTCAATACATCGACCAAGCAATCAGACAATTTAATGGAAGAAAAACCAAAATTCACTGAGGTTATTAAACTGATAAATACCGCTTGTGACTGAGAAAGTTCCTGAACTCTGTAATGCTGAGAGAGATGAGTACTGGGAGAAGTATTAATATAATCTTTCATTTTCTCATATTCTTTCTTAGGTATCTGATGATAAACACTACTAGTGACAGACTACTCTGCTCAGTACACAGTCAGTCTGCTGCAGCATGGCTGTTCTTGTACAGTGACTTTAAAAACCTTATCTGTTTTCACTCTTAATTTGAATTAAGCATATTTGGAAAAATTACATTTGAAAAAAATCATAAAAAGTCATTAAAAATGTTCTTACAATCACGTGTCTATGCTGAGACTGCTTGTGGATTCTGATAAGCCATCTTAGTTTAAATATACTTCATTAAAAGCTTCACAGCTATTGAGTCAACTTTGTATCTTCACATGACACACTGACTAGAAGTGATCTGCTGAGTTTCCATTTGAACTGATTTTGTGCTTTTAGCTCTGAACCCTCTCTCATGGGTTATGATGTCTCACTGCTACACTGCTCTTACATTAGCGTGCTTACTGAAGGAAAGGTACAAACTAACATAGTATCAGTGATGTCCATAAATTGCTAAATTGGAATGTTTGAATTTAAATCACTTCAGCAACCATAAAGTTCAGTGCATGAGTATCCCAAAGTTAAAAATTATAACAGCTGATTATTTAACTATGCTTTTGTTTTATTTTGATCTAAGAGCAATACTCATGTTTAAAAAGAAAGACAGTTTTTCTTGCACAGTAAGATCATCCACACGGAAGTAGATGCCATTTTTCTACTAAATCAGGTCCTAATTCATAACACATTTATCCATCAGAAATGCCCTAGTTTTGCTGTAGCATGTTACTGTCTATTAAAACAAGATTGCAATCTTTTCAGTCCAACATCTATTCTTAAAAGACTCTCATAGGCAGGTTTGATCTTTACATTATGATTTTATTTCATGGTAAGCTCTTCCATTTTTATTACTGCCTAACATGAACTCTCACTGAAATGTGACCTGACAATTTATATCTGTATTTATTCACGCTAAGTTTTCTGCTCCACAACTACTGGGCTGAAAGTGTAGTATATTTACTGTAGAAATAATACTTCCTGCTATTCCCAACAAAGAAGGTCATACCAGCTTGACATGAAAGGAAATGTAATGCTTCATGTTTTTCAGTTGTGGCACACATTTTAAATTCATCATTAAAACCATCTATAGGAGAATGTTTATGCAAATTGCTTTTTTCCCCAACTCCCTTTTCTTTCTTTTAGGTCAGCAAATAGTTTATGTATATGGCACCACCCTGCCATATAGGGGAAAAAATATCAAATACACAGACTCAAAACTTACTGAGTAATACAGTTAAAAAAAACCCAAAACAAAACAACAAAAAACAAATTGGACCAAAGCAGTGAGGCTCAGGCCTGTCTGTGCCTGAGCTTTATTAATGTATTCTTATCCCATTGGCAAAATCTTACATTTTTGGAGTATGGAAGGAAAGGATCCCAAAGAGATCTTATAAGCTGTTAAGCTTCATGTTCTTATTAAACCAGATCAATAGCTGCAGAGCTGTAGTTCCACGATGAAAGATGTGGTTGATTTTTAATTCAGTTTCATCTGCACACTAGTATTTCAGTTCCTAGCTGATCATCAGTGCACAGTAACTATAGCTACTGTGCTAATTTCTGCATTACACATTTGTACATTAAACTTCCAAAGTTATTGGAAGGCTCAGAACATTAGATATTGCTGTCATGAAAAGACAGTTACTGAAAATTTGAATGCATTTTTCTAGTCAGAAATATCAGTTGCTTTTCCTTTAACTAGATAAATGCATTTAGAAATATGCAGATATCATTTCTGCTCTGTAAGTATGTTTCCATGCCTTATTGTATAGAAAATGCTCTACTGTATTATTTAAAACAATATAATATCAACAATTTGTAAATCATAAAAATATTTATAGGATAGTTCTTAAAAAACAAAGGGAAAGTCTTTTTTGAAGACCAGTTAGATTAGCCACCTATTGAACTTTCCTAGTGCATCAACATTTACAATAGTTTAATATATTTAACACAAGATGAGCCGTTGCATTGGGGTTGTGTGCATGTTGTTTGTTTAGGGTTTTTTAAGTAACAGATTTTAGCTACAAAATGAAGCATTTTCTGAAGCACTTATTCAATTCCTAGTGATATTTCTCAAGCATATTTTATTTAAAAATAATGATTTCAGTTACAAAGCATATATAGTAAGAACTTTCAAATGTTCACTCTAAGTGGCAGCATTGCAGCACAAGTGAAATACAGTATTTTAGCACCCATAGCAGGAAATCTGTTTAAAATCAAAACCAACCAACCAGAAAAACCCCACAGGAAAAAAAAAAAAAAAGGAAGCACACCATGCAAAAACTAATTCGGCAGTAATGCGAGTTTTATGTCTGTACAAGTGGTACAAAATGTACTTAAACCACCTTGCCCCCATCTCTCCCTTCTTTCCTAGGCTCAGCTTCACTGCTGATTTCTCTACCTCCTCCACCCCAGGGGGACAGAAAACGGGGACTGTGGTCAGTTCATCACACATTGTCTCTTGCCTTTCCTTCCTCTGCGGTGGGGGAGCTCCTTACACTCTTTATCTGCTCCAGCGTAGGGTCCCTTCCATGGGAGAAAGTCCTCCCTGAACTTCCCCAATGTGAGTGCTTCCATGGGCTGCAGTTCTTCATTAAGTGCTCCAGCATGGGCTCCCCATGGACTAACAAGTCCTGCCAGCAAACCTGCTCCAGCATGGGCTTCTCTCTTCACTGGGCCACAAGTCCTACCACGACCCTGGTTCAGCATGGACTTCACATGGGGTCAAAGCCTCCTTTGGGCATCTGCCAGCTCCAGTGTAGGGTCCTCCATCAGCTGCAGGTGAATCTCTGTTGCACCATGGACCTCCACGAGCTGCAGGGGCACAGCTGCCTCACAATGGGCAGCACCACGGGCTGCAGGAGAATCTCTTCTCTGGTGCCTGGGGCACCTCCCACCTCCTTCTTCACTAACCTTGGTGTCTGTAGTGCTGTTTGTCCCACATATTCTCACTCCTTCCTTCTCTGGTAGCAATTGCTCCCACACAGTAACTGCTTCCTCTTCTTAAGTTTGTTATTTCAGCGGCACTACTGCTGACTCTGATGGGCTTGGCCTTCGCCAGTGGTGGGTCTGTCCTGGAGATGGCTGCATTGGTTCTGTTGGACATGTGGGAAGCTTCTGGCAGCTTCTCACAGAAACCACCCCTGTAGCCCCTCTACTACCAAAACCTTGCCACACAAAGCCAATACAGCCATAGTGTTTCTGCTTTGATTTCAGCCTCAGACTTTAACTTTCAGCAGGTGGAAATACTTTTCATCAGCAGGACACACTCTCCTCATAGTTCTCAGATAAAGAAATGTCCCACTTAGTCATAAAATAATATTTTTGAAGGATGTCAATCTTCTAAGTCTAATTCCCTGGACACCTAAAACTTCTGGGTAGGCTTGCACAGCCACCAGTTACTTTGAGTGACAGGTGGGGCTGCAGTCTAAGCTTGGTGGTGAGGAGAGTAGGATC